TAGAGGTAACTCTAAGACCACTGGGTCCCGAAGAAAATCATTATTATTTTTGGCTCACTCAGTACCAGAACAACGGTCCCAAGCAGTCCCAAGCTATTTCACTCACCCCTGCATGCTCTGCATGAATCCACACACCCCTGATGTTATCTGTCAAACTTTCATAGCGAATCAAAACAAGCATAGTGTAGTAATAGAATTTCAACTAGAATAGGGTACGTTAATCGTTTGCTTGGGACCAATAGGCTACTAAAGTGGTGAGCCAATTTAAAATCGTTAGTTTCGTATTGATTGTTGGTATTATCAAGTACTAAGTATGTGAAATTACGATAGAAATCATTCCATATCGCAGTCATAGCAACAATCAATACGAAACTAACGATTTTAAATTGGCTCACCACTTTAGTAGCCTATTGGTCCCAAGCAAACGATTAACGTACCCTATTCTAGTTGAAATTCTATTACTACACTATGTTTGTTTTGATTCGCTATGAAAGTTTGACAGATAACATCAGGGGTGTGTGGATTCATGCAGAACATGCAGGGGTGAGTGAAATAGCTTGGGACTGCTTGGGACCGTTGTTCTGGTACTGAGTGAGCCAAAAATAATAATGATTTTCTTCGGGACCCAGTGGTCTTAGAGTTACCTCTATGGTCATAGTTTTTAAGTGATAATCCAATGGAATCTATCAATCATCACATAGAATGAATAAATCTGCTGACATTGCTATGTTATAAGATGGATCCAATAAACGGTACATGTCGATTTGTTTCAGTGTACTTGACTAGCCTATTGGTCCCAAGCAAACGATTAACGTATCCCATTCTAGTCGAAATTCTAGTACTACGCAATGTTTGTTTTGATTCGCTATGAAAGTTTGACAGATAAAATGAGGGGTTATTGGTTTTTCTTATGTTTCGAGGGGTGAATCGATTAGCTTGGGACCGAAGAGAGTACCAGAGCTGAGCCAAAAAGTTGAGCACGTTATTTCGGGACCTTCTAGTCTTAGAGTTACCTCTATGCTACTACTAGATTGAACTAGCATTTTCACCAAATGTACTAGAATGTTTTGGTTCTATCTCTTTCATTCTACTCAAAACTGAAATGCATAAAAAAAAATGACAAAATGATACGCACTCTTTGCACACTGTCAAAGAATCATTGTACACAAAATCAACTTTGTTCAAATCAAAACAAAAATACTAACCCATCTGGTGGATGATGGCACAAGCTTCCAAGAAAATTTTATTACAGTGAACCACATTATTTAAATTGATTTCTTCGCCAGTTAGTCGTCTGTCACTTCGTTTGTGATTCAACGATTGTCAAGCAAAGATGTTTAACGAGATAAATCCACGTCCACAGACAAACAGCCATAACTCTCGTAAGTTGTTCATCGAACAAGCATTTAACGATCAATTTAAAAATATCGTAGTTGGTAGTGCCGCCACCTGTAGCGCGCATAGTCAATTCCCATGCGTTTGACGTTTACACACTACCCGACCCTCGACCCGACCAACCATTTCGTTTAATTTCTTTAATTTTCGATTTATCAATCTTCAAAGACATTCATATGAAAAATCGATAGCGATCGTCACCATTTAATAAATAAATGTAAAGATACTAAAAGCCTGATCGTGAATCATTTATAAACATCTTTATCAAAATGTTGCTACTAATCGTTACCTATGTAAAAATATCGATTCGTGCTGCCAGATCAAAATATCGATTTCTCTTGTCAGATCAAAATAACAATACACGGTACTGATATTTTTGGGATTTTTTTTATCTGCATAATTGCTAGGTTTCGATCCCGTGCCATCTATGGTGCACTGATTTCTTTGTTGGTAGCTAATCCTCGGGTCTATAGCTTCTGTTGATGAGCTTCTTAACGACTGGCAATCACACTCTAGTATATGGTGTTTTGAAATTGATGTACAGTTTTCAAGCAGAAATTCAAAATTTATTTGTCATATCCATAACCAAAGTATCAAGTTCCCTCATTCGGTTTGCCGAGAATTCTACCAACAATCAATACGAAACTAACGATTTTAAATTGGCTCACCACTTTAGTAGCCTATTGGTCCCAAGCAAACGATTAACGTACCCTATTCTAGTTGAAATTCTATTACTACACTATGTTTGTTTTGATTCGCTATGAAAGTTTGACAGATAACATCAGGGGTGTGTGGATTCATGCAGAACATGCAGGGGTGAGTGAAATAGCTTGGGACTGCTTGGGACCGTTGTTCTGGTACTGAGTGAGCCAAAAATAATAATGATTTTCTTCGGGACCCAGTGGTCTTAGAGTTACCTCTATGATTCTACCACGCTTGCTATCGCTGATTCTTAAGAAATGGCCAAGGAAATGGGCGAGAGCGTATCGAAGTAAACTTAAAGAACTTAATGGCATACATTTGTATCATCGTGGCCATCGATCAGTCTTCCCATTAATTTTCCGGCAGAGCATGCTTCTCTTGATGAAGAACCAAATTTGTCGATAACTAATATAAACATTGCCATCTGTCATCTAGTGTGTATCAAACTGTCTTTACCCAGCGATGCAAATCGATAACAAGGAGATTATAAATGTACATCGATGGCAATCTTTATTGTTCTTTGCCAAAGTTCAACGTTACGATGGTATCAGTATTCAAATATTTTTAGATGAATATTTATAGAGAAAACTATAGTCCTTGTGACACATCGAAATTAGAAGAAATTTAGTATGGCTATAGATTACCATCATGCGACCGATAAAGAATTATCTTAAATGTAAGTATCAATCAATAAAGGTTTTTAAATATATTCATCGAAATCAAAGAAACTTGAAAGTAAAGTAAAATCTTTATTTTTGTATAAAGAACTTTGAAGAAGTTTCACGAATGGTTGGTCGGGACTACACACTCAGCTACACGGATAGAAATCTCCTTATACCTTTTGGCAAATTTCTATTGCTGATTATTCATAAAATGTATAAGTCAACTAATAAGCAGACGCCGTGCAAAAAGTGAATGAAGATCATATGACAAATGAAATGTATAAGCGGTCACACATACCTTTTATGCATTCTTATAAGACCTATGTGGTTTGTCTTATGGAATGTATAAGGGTGATGTTTTGGCAAAAATGTATAAGTGAAACACATGAATAAAATAATTGATTTTCGTTTCGTGTAGGTTAACAAAATTTTGCTTGTTCTATAATTTATTAACAAAAATATTCGGTGAACGATACAGATTTTTTGGTAAACAGAATTTTCGGTAAAGTTTGAACGAATTTCCAGTAATCCGATTATTAAATTGGGTTCTTTAATTTTGAAACATATATCGGTTTTTATGTATCATCTGAAAGAGCTCGTTTTCACACACATTTTCATCTCGAAATTCAAATCAAGATTTAAAGCAAAATAATAACTTCACTGTTTGACACTAAACTGACAAACTGACAGCTCGCTTCCATACAAAGTGACACCGAGGGACGCTAATAAGCTGATTTTTACAAATGTAATCGTACTTATTTAAAATAGTTCCAGTGTACCAAAATTGATGAAATTTTGGGTTTGGGTTCCATTTTTAATGCAGATTACGAATATGCATTTACCTCAATACCCTTAAGAACCCAATTGACGAACTCAGTGAAAAATTACAGTACAAACTGTAAAATGAGACAAACGGCTAATTCGGTGAAATACAGGCCTCACTGAGCGATTGGGATAAGGCAAAACACAAAATGTGTTTTATTTCACATATATCGAAATGTTTGCTTGCCATCGAACGGTGACGGCACAGAGCACTGACCGGCTGCAAGCAAAGAATAAAGCGCCCAAAAAATTTTACCGAGTAGGTAAACAACTGTCGATAGCGTGATCGACAACGAGGAACAAGTGCTACTTTGTTCAAAACTGAAAGCAAACTGACCTTTGACAGACATGATTGTAGTAACGTTGTTGTACTCCTTTAATCCAGTACCGCAATCGACGTACCCGATTAAATGAGTACAACCTATGCTTATAGATATACTTGGAACCAATAGGCTAGTCAAGTAGTGAGCCAATTTAAAATCGTTAATTTTCACCGGTTGGTACTATGAAGACCTTCTAATCGCTCTAAATGTACAATTTTCTGGAACTGATGAAATATACCACTTTTAACTTTCCTCAAATCCGATCATTATCATCATTTATTTTGTTTGGTGAAACGACTTAAAACAAATATTTTATGTGAATAATTGCCTACATTTAGGCCTAATTTTCAATATGATGCGGTACAAAATGTTTTTTTTTTTTTCGCAAACCACAATTTAAACAAAAAATTACGCCAGACTCTTCTTCAGCGTATAAATGCTGGCTTCTGAATATTGCTTGTTTAAAAACCTACATGATCAACGTCACCCCAGAATTGAAATTTTGCATTTTTATTCTAATTTGAATTGTTAAAAATAAAATAACCATGTAATTTAACAAATGAATTCCCACATTAGGCGCTAGAGAGGTATTTGTTCGTGTGCTTAAGATTTGGTTGGGAAACTCATCCCCGTTTTACGGTATACAGTCGAATTTTGCTCGTTGGGCTGTTACAGTAGCCCATCTGAATCGAAATCACGTCATTTCTGACAGTGCTGATTCCTTTTTGAGAGACTCATGGATGAACAATTTGGAATGTTGCTAAACAATTTTGATGATAATAAACAATCGGTGTATCCCTCAACCACTTTTCAGCTTGACAGCTTAGCCCAACAAACGAAAGCCTTTCACTAAGTGGGCTATAGGTTTAACTCAACGAGCAAAATTGACTGTATTTGAAATTCATGCAGCGTGCAATCGCTATGGCCATTTTTTCAGTTACTCTGCCTCATCCTGTAGAATCCATTCGTCTGTCGCAGTCAGACTGGAACACCTGTCGAATCTATTCAACTCTTATTTACACTTCTCTGTATCCGGTTCCACGCAATGCACAATAGGGGATTTCTCTCGATCTATACAATTTACACACAAGCAAAATTGTTTCAGATGGATCCCCTTCTTTCTTTATTCCACACTTTTCCACATTCTTTCCCTTTCTGCATACACGGGTGTCGCCAGGGCACAATTCAGCAGCTTTGTACTTGTGCCGATATTAATGTAAAATAAGTTACATTCACTTAGGTATTACAAAACCGTTCGATGGAAAGCAGCGTGTTGTTTACAATTCGCGCAGACGACGGACAGCCGAACGGACCGAGGCGGCAGCGGTAGTCGAGTACACCCAGGCTCCACCAGCGACGACACGCTTGCATCGCTTGCAGGACCAGATTCCGACGCAGGAACGCTTCATGGCATCCTAGAGCGAAAATAATGTTAGTATCCTCTACTGAACCAATGTTTCAAGCTTTCTTACCTTGCCGCAGAATGTACAGGTGTACTTGGCGTGCTGGGTGATTTCCATTTTCTTCACCATCTTACGTAGAGAGGCACCATATCGGGTACCATATTTACCGACGATTCCGACTTTCCTGGTACGCTTGGCCTATTTGAGACGGGAAAATAACGAAACATTAAATTCCCGACACATCTTAATAATGGAAACTTTTGTTGACATCCAAATTCACATAACCCCGATCGCTCATACAACACTACAACATTAGCCGATTTGCCAACTCCGGCCCAGAGTCGGCACAAAATTGTCAATTTTGCCCGAAATCCTCACACACAATTCACACAAATTACACCAATTTGGAATGCCACCGACTAGCACTTTACGCTGAGCACAAAAACTAACCATTTTATCGAATTGTTACTGAAATTGATTGAATTTTAAAAGCTGACACGAAATGTGTGCAGTTTCTTCAATCGAAGATGACGGAAAAAGAGAGAGAATGAAAACAGGCGGAAGTGGATTAGCTGTCAGCTTGACAGTTTGGCTGCGTACTGTGTCGCAAAACAGGAAAGCAACCGGTGAACGCAATCCAAATGCAACGTGGGTCGAAATTGACAGAAGAAGGCGAAAATAGTTCTTAGTTAATTGCCCGACCAACCATTAGTGAAACTTCTTCAAAGTTCTTTATACAGAAATAAAGATTTAGGGGAATTTACGTATTCTCGGCAACCTAAGCAGCGACCTTCTTTCTATAGCCTTTTTCTCTAAGGAACGCACACATATGCAGTATTGGTTTGTTTACAATTTTTTGCTGCCAGCTGCTCTAACAATTTCAGTCGAAAGAATTGTCAAAAACTTTTTTGAAACGCTTTTACAAAGCTCCAATCTTCTCTAGTGAGAGCGAATATTGTCGGCAATCAGTTTTTCTTCGGCAACCATTCCATTTGAACTGCATGTAAATCTGCTGTTCTATTATCGGCAACTCGCAATCAGCTACAATTTGTAGTGCGTGTGTTTCATTTCAAGAAAACCTTGCTAGATTGCTTTTTCTCAGTGGTAAAAATATAGTCAAATTGAAGCTGAAAGCATAAAGAATCGTTTGCATGCATTCAGCGAAGTGTTTTCGTAAGAAAATCCAGTGAAAATAGTGCTTCAATTTGGGTTGCCGAAAATAGTCTGGCATGCCGAAGCCGTCATTTCCCCTATGTCGGCAATTCTTTACTTTAAATTTTCTATGATTTCGATGTACAGTAGCCGTTCGCTAATTGGGGCACGACTGCACCCCAATTATCGAATGGCATTCGCTAATTGGGGGGTGTCGACAAGTGTCAAAGTTGACCGGGGGGCGCTTGACTCGTTTGTTTTGGTTTTCAGTCTTTCGTCTGCTTAACTGATGCTGTGAGCAGCTACTTAGTTTTTGTCTTGCGTGAGTGTAAATTGAGTGAATCGATTGAATATTTTGTTGAGTTATTTCCGGCGCTGGTAAATATTTGTGCATTCATACGTTGTTTGTAATGTTGTAGCAATTATCCTCCTGAAATTTGTTCAGCTTTCACAATGGAAGGATAATAAGCAAGTCGTGAAACGGAAGCACACTACGCTTACCTTGGCTCAGAAGGTGAGAATAATCGAGGAATTTGAAGCAGGAAACGGTTCCCACGAAATATTAGGCAAAAGGTTTGGTGTCGGAGCATCCTCGGTCGGTCGATTTTTGAAAAATAAGGAGTCAATTCGGATGAAACTAGAAAAATTCAGAGAACATGGCGTGGAAAATCGAAAAACGATGAAGAATCAGAATTTTCCCTTACTGGAGGAAGCGCTTTACCTATGGGTTTTGCAACAACGTGAGGCTAATATCATAGAGGTAACTCTAAGACCACTGGGTCCCGAAGAAAATCATTATTATTTTTGGCTCACTCAGTACCAGAACAACGGTCCCAAGCAGTCCCAAGCAAAAAAAAAATACTTACTCTTAAGTATATTCTACCCAAAATTATTTTAATTCAAGTAAATTTGAGAATAAGCAATTTACTCAAAAGTAACTTATTGGGTTGAACTATATCGTTGTGTCGAATCTCTCGTTCCTTTTTAGACAACAATAACGAGTGCAACTGAAAGGCTGAAGTCAATATTAGGTAAAAAGATCTCAAATTTTGGGTAGTATTTTTTCTCCGTGTACGGGATAGGACACGGAATGCTAATAGTACGTTCAGACTACAGAGTTATAACATAGAGGTAACTCTAAGACCACTGGGTCCCGAAGAAAATCATTATTATTTTTGGCTCACTCAGTACCAGAACAACGGTCCCAAGCAGTCCCAAGCTATTTCACTCACCCCTGCATGTTCTGCATGAATCCACACACCCCTGATGTTATCTGTCAAACTTTCATAGCGAATCAAAACAAACATAGTTTAGTACTAGAATTTCGACTAGAATGGGATACGTTAATCGTTTGCTTGGGACCAATAGGCTAGTCAAGTAGTGAGCCAATTTAAAATCGTTAGTTTCGTATTGATTGTTGACTGTACTGCTCACTACGATGGATGCGATGATTTGAAGAGTGATGATGGATTAATTCAAGTGATGTACCTTCCACCAAATGTGACAGCAGAATGCCAGCCGATGGATCAGTCGGTGATCAACGCAATCAAAACCAGGTACAAACGGAAGCTGATGCTTAAGCTTGTTTTGGAAAACGAAGATTTGCCCTTGGAACAACGGCTGAAAAATGTGTCCTTACGGCAGAGTATTGATTGGATTGCTGACCCTAATAAAATTGTTATGGTTATTTTGCTTAACGACGTGTTCTGGGTATCTTCCAAACCATTAGTGGAAAAGTTCAATTATTTGGGTTATCGTTCGTTTATGGTTATTTTTTATTAGGGGAAGCTTGGGACGAAATCAGTCAGGTTACCATTGAAAATTCCGTGAGAAGTATTCAATGTGTTATGTCTGTTTGTCTGTGCTTGTAGCATCAATTGATGGCATAGCCGGAACAAACACAACCGACGAGCAAATCCAGCTTTGGCTTGAGGATCGAGTAGTAGATTCCAATGGTACAACAGTTTCAATAACCAGCGAAGTGTTCAGAGACGAAGAAATAGTCAGCGCAGTTTTGAATAAAGCAGACGATTTAACCAACAATCAATACGAAACTAACGATTTTAAATTGGCTCACCACTTTAGTAGCCTATTGGTCCCAAGCAAACGATTAACGTACCCTATTCTAGTTGAAATTCTATTACTACACTATGTTTGTTTTGATTCGCTATGAAAGTTTGACAGATAACATCAGGGGTGTGTGGATTCATGCAGAACATGCAGGGGTGAGTGAAATAGCTTGGGACTGCTTGGGACCGTTGTTCTGGTACTGAGTGAGCCAAAAATAATAATGATTTTCTTCGGGACTCAGTGGTCTTAGAGTTACCTCTATGATTTAACTTTCACGGAGGAAGAATGGTTGAATACCACCCCGGAGGCTTTGAACGGAAGTGCCCTTACTACTGAAAACGAAGAACCCGAAGACATCGATTTTCCAACCGCGATGAAGTCGCTTGATAACGTGATCCAATTCGTACAGAACAATCCCGCTCAGACTTTGAAACTGAAAACCCTGTGAACTAAATTGCTGGAAGCAGAGTGGAAGAGACGCAATCTGTAACTGTTTTGTTTTGATTTGCTTGTTTTATGAATTAAATTGATTTTTTACAAAAAATATTTTGTTTTTCGTTATTTTTTATCAATCATTGAAAGACCCCCCAAAAAATATGACGTCATGACGTCAGCATGATTTTGACATCAGATTTTGACGGATGACTGCTTTTTAATTGGGTCGCGCCCCAATTAGCGAACCCCCAATTAAAAAGCGCCCCAACCAGAAAACCCCCAATTAGCGAACTTCCATACACATTTAAAAATCTTTCGGTCATATTATGATAGTAATCTATAAAGGTGCCCTACTAAATTTCTTTTAATTTCGATATGTCACATGGACTTTAGTATTCTTTACAAATATTCATCAATAAATATTTAAATACTGATATCATCGTAACTTTGAACTTTGACAAAGAACAACAAAGATTGCCATCGATGCACATTTATAATCTCCTTGTTATCGATTTGCATCGCTGGTTAAAGAGAGTTCGAGACACACCAGGTGACAGACGGCAATGTTTATATTATTTATCGACATATTCACTCAAAAATATCACAAAACGAATATAGATTAAATTTTATGCATTTTATGGTTTTTCCTCGGGTTTTTCAAAATGTATACATTGGTTCGATTAAAATTTTCGTCAAAATTATACTACACACTTAGAAAAAATCACCGACTTCGGTAATTCATTTACCGAATTCTCAACAGCTGAACGGTCGGTAATGTTTTCGGTAATCGAGAACATCACCGAAAAATCTGTAAACTGGATCAGCAAAATTAGTTGTCAAATTTACCGAACGATCGGTAACATTTACCGATGTGCATTGCTTGATTTGTAGTCGACTTTACCGGAGAACTGTAATTTTTTAAAAAGGTCACCGACTCAACTGTAATTTGCTTTAATATTGTTTCAATGTGGCGGTCACTGTAACCCATGCAAAAATTTGGCTGCAGTCGTGATCAATAAGCTAGTGTTGCAAATTGCACCACCAATGAACAAAACCGTTGGCAAAGATCTGAAAACTTATGTTTTCGTCGGAAAGATTCGGCGCTACACTGAAAACAAGGAAGCATTGGAAGATCGTCGCCAACGGGAATGGAACTTGGAACGACAGAAAAAAACAAGCAACAACATTGGCCATCTGTAATCGGTATTTATTTAGATAACAAAAATTAATTATTTACGGAAAATATCTACGATTCGCTCATCTTGGTGTTGCATAACAGCCTCCATAATTTCACCTTTTTTATTTTTCACAAGCACGAACGCTTTTAATGTCGATCGAAAATAACAATATGGTGGATTTGACGTTTACCTAGACCGTTACCGAACTTAGTAACGGAACGCTTTGTTTACCGAAACTTCAGTAAAATATTTCACCGAAGTCAGTGATGAAGCTGATTTACAGACCTGCCGGTAAAAATGTTTACCGTTTTCGGTAAATTAAAATAAAATTACCGAAATTCGGTCATTTCATTTACAGTTTTCAGCAATAAAGCGAGAAAATACCGAAACATCTGTAATTTTTAGCATTACCGATCTAAGAAGGTAATTTTTTTTACCGAACTCAGGGTCTCTGATTACATTTTATGGATAATCAGTAATAGAAATTTGCCAAAAGGTATAAGGAAAATTCTATCCGTGTACTAGAGTTTGTTTGCCTGTCGTTGATAAGCTCATCAACAGCAGCCGTGGACACGAGGATTAGCAACCAACAACGAAATCAGTACACCCCGGATGGCATGGGATCGAAACTAGAAATTATGCAGATAAAAAATCACAAATAAAATCAGCAGTTTTGTATCGATATTTTGATTTTACAACAGAAATCGATATTTTGATCTGGAAACACAATCGATATTTTAACATTGGTAA